TTCACTGCCCTTCTGCGTTTGCTTAACCTTCCAATTTGAAATGCTAGTGAGCTTGAACTTTTTTTTGCTTTAGATAAACAAGATATGACAAAGCTTTTTCCATTTTTATATTTAGTATACACACATATAATCCGTAAAACAGGTGATACATATTTCTCCGTTTTATTTTCACTTCCTTCACTTTAAAGACATTTTTATATACTTCTAAAGGTATTTTACCATTTACCAGCCTAATCCACAGCTTATTTTTCCCCTGATGTTTCTCTTGCATTACTGATTGTGTTAAAGTCCATATATAGAAGTTAACTTTCCATAAAAGATCAAAAAGGCTGGAGGGGATCAATGGGGGGGGAGGCGGGAAGGGGACAGCTGTAATACTTTCAACAATAAATTTTTTTTTTTTAAATGGGGCCATTTGCCTAAGTGCACTTGGAGCTTGCTTGGGTTCTAACATAGAATTTAATAAACAAAAAATAAAAATAAAAGAATAACTTCTGTTGAAATAAAATACCAAACAGTAATTTTTAAATATTACATTGAGCTAAAAGTGAGTAAAAAAATTACTATAAAACTTTGTCTACGAGTGAGATTTTCATTAATTTAATAATTTTCAACCTTTCTGTCTTTGCATTCAGAGTTTTATTTTTTATAAAATCTCACTTATTTTTAAACTCTGCCCAAACTTTTCTCCCTCCTTGTACATGTTCTATCTACCATGATTTCTAGACCATAATGTATGCATATGTTTATGCTTCTGAAACATATTTTTCTAAATTTTTTGGGGGGGTGAACACTGAATCTTTTAAGTTTTATTCTTTTTAAAAAATTGTTATTAAATTTATTGGGGTGACATTGGTTAATAGGATAATATAGGTTTCAACTGTACATTTCTATGATACGAGGTCTGTATATTGCACTGTGTTTCCCCCACCCAAAGTCAGGCCATCTTCCATAACCATATATTAGGCCCCCTACACGCCCACACCCCCACTCCCTTCCCTCTGGTAACCACCACACTGCTGTCTGCATCCAGGAGTTTCAGTTTTATATCCTACATATGAATGAAGTCATGGTTCTTAGTTTTTTCTGACTTTTTTCCACTTAGCATTTTCTTAAATTCTTACAGCACTTAGATAATAAACTCTATGAGAGGAAGGATGCACTGAGGAAATAACTGCACTCCCTTTAGATATGTGCTAACAGCTATTGCTCAATATTAGTTTTGTTAGAAAAATACATGCCAATAGTAACCATCTATGAAAATATTTGCTTCATATTTTTCAAAGAAGGCTGTGGCTTGCCCAAAATCATAACTTTTAACAACATCTTTCAAACATGCCAAATCACATTGCCTATTTAGCCAATTCTGTGTGCATAATATTAATTTACTGTGCCACAAAGGCAGTATGCCTCAACTGTTATTGGGGAAAAGCATAATATATTTGATTTCCCTTTATGGGTCTCACATTGCTTATAATTCAATAGGGCTACCACATTTTCTGGGCAGGCTATCAAATAGGATGTTGTAATGATTTGCTTGACTAGTAGAGTAGGTAAAAAAATTTCAGTTCTGTCTGTCGCTGTTCTATTTTTAAATTTCAGATTTGCAGTGTTTAAAACAATTTATTTCTCTGTGGTTCTCTTTAAACAATAAAAATATTCTTTTATATTTTAAAGAGTTAAACATGTTAAACAAAATCAGTTAAAGTAATGGTTAGAACAGCATGAATTTCAAAAAACAAAAGAGAAGTCTTAGGTTTAATTTGAAAATGCCCAGAAAGGGGCTGTAGTGCAATGAAGAGATTTTTTGGCTTGATGAAAGGGTGGCATAGGTTTTACCTGTAACTCATATCTTGGGGATGCTTGAATACCTCAATTCTCTGTCTGTACCACTATCCCTTTGCAGTTCATGGAGATGTTAAGATGTTTTCTGCTTTATAAAATGTTACCAAAATTATCTTTGGAATATGTCTGTTCTATTTAGAGTCTACCTATCAGTAGACTTACTTCCAATTTTAAACATTATCACGGATTCCTTGAATGATTGAACCTCTTTCTATAAACTAAATTCATAAAACATCTTCTGCACACCACAGAGAAGGAATCTCATCATTGTTGTAGGTTTATCTTTTTATATAATTCAGTTGCTTTTTTCCACAAATACTTATTGAGCAACTGCTATGTATCAGGCATGTTCTGAGTCCTTAGTGCATATCGGTGGACAGTACAGACAGAGATCTCTGCCCTAGTGAAGGTTATATTCTAGGGGGAGAGACAGGAAACAAGAAATATAATAAAGAAGTAAATAATGGAATGTGTCAAAAGTTGGCAAGTACTATGGAAAAAGGAAATAACACAGCAGCATGAAGAGTTGTATCCATGTCGGGGAAGGGGAGACAGGCTCTGTGCTGCAGTGGTCAGCGTTACTCACTGACTGTGTGGGGGAAGTTGGTTAGGGCCTGGGGGAAAACATTCCAGGGAGAGGAAACAGCTAGTGCAAAGGCTGAAAGATGGAGTCCTCCAGGCAAGTTTGGGAAATGGAAAAGAGGCCAGTGTGGCCAGAATAGAATGAATGAGTGGGAGAGTAGGAAGGGAGCTGGTGAGAGAAGTCATCTTCATTACTTCTGACCCAGGTTCTGTCTGTCTTTTTTCTGTGTGAAATGGGGAGCCATTGCTGACCAGAGGATTTACACTTCTAAAGGAGCATTCTGGCTGCAGGGTGAGAACAGGTGGAAGAGGTCAGAGGTGGAAGGAGGGAGACCTGTTAATGAGGTGCTGCAGTTAATCAGCTGAGAAATGATGCTCCTGACTTGGCCCAGAGGCAGGGCAGTGGAGGAAGTGGGAGATGGTAGAAACCTGGATATATTTTAAAGTAAAGCCAATGGGATTTTCAGATAGATTGGAATAAGGTTTTGAGAGAAAAAAAGAGTCCATGATAATTATAAGGTAGAACAGGTTGTTTTTTGTTTTATTTTGGGGTATTTTTTGGGGGGTGGGTGAAAGGGAGGAGGGTTAGGATCCAGTTTTAGACATGTGCATTTTGAGATGATTTTAAATATCCAAGTAGAGATGTCAAATAAGCAATAAGATATTTAAGTCTAGACTTTGAAAGAAAAGTCTAGACTGGAAATGTAAATTGGTGAGTTGTTAACATATAGATGGGAATAAAACCATGGGTGGGGTGAGATCACCAAAGAAGTGAGTCTAGATAGAGAACTTCTTGAGTGCATTTCATGTATTTGACATTTACTCAGGGGGCCTATATATATAAAGCTAAATACTCTCTCCTCTTAAAGAGCTCATGGTTTGTATTTGACCACACATTTTCACAAATCTAGAAGATGTCATTCACATAGACTACAGGGTCCGGATATATATTTCTCTATATAATTAGCCATAACATGGTATGATAAATTCTATTCTTGATATTTGTAATGTAATATAATTGGTAATGTAAAATATAATATAGTAATTGTTACATAATGGTATTGTAGAGAAAGGAACAGTGAATTGACATAGTGATAAGAGAGCACAGTAAATTTAGAATACTCTGTTCTCAAATAATATATATTAGAACAGATTAATGTGTAATAACATTGTGAATAGTTAAAATTAAGATTAAGACCTTAATTGAAGGATCACTTGATATTATTCTTTAGTAAACAATGTTCAAGTCAACTTTCAGGCACCCTGTTTGTCCCACATTCTCCCATCCTGTTGCTAAAAAGGCTACTGAAGGCCCTTGCAGCGCTGTTCTGGGGTGAAGGCAGGGGTGGAGGGGAAGGCAGGCCTGTGAATGAACCTCATCCTCCGTTTCTGTACCTTAGGAATCCATTAGGAGTGAGCAGGTGTGGGCTACGTCCCACAGTCAGCCAGTCGACAGTGTGGTAGTGCACTTGCCATTGGCTCTTTTCTATGGCCCAGGTTGAAAAGGGATGGGTAAAAAAATGGATCTTCTGCTTTATGTTGAAAGCATTTTAAATCTCCAAAATAAGAACCCCAGAAAGGATGGGAAGAGATAGAGGCTGGGGGAAGGTTTGTGACAGAGCAATGTTAATCCTTTCCCTGAAATGTTGGCCCAGGTGAAGGCTTGTACTTGCGCCGATTCAAAGATGGGAATGCACTGGCCTTGCCCATAGTTGTTCACATCAGAGAGAACGTATGTTAAATGACCATCACTGTGTAGCGACTGCAGGCAAGGTAACTGCTATGATAGTTACTGCTGCTCCCGTCTGCTCAGACAGTAGCAAGGGCGTTTTACAGTGGACTTGCAAGAAGCTATATAAATTCTTCCTCACTGTCCAGTGGTTAAGATCATGGGCTATGTGGATTAAGACGACTACCTGGCTGTGAAATTTTAGACAAGTAATTTAACCTTGTGTGCCTCAATTATCTCAGCTGTGAAATGGGAATAAGATTGCTTTCTATCACAAAGAGCTCTTGTGGGGATTAACTGAGATAACCTAAGTACTGTTTAGAACAATGCCTAGCACACAGTATATACTTAATAAACGTTCTCTATTAAGCTATCAATCTTTTTCTTTATTTCATGTTTGCTGAAACTGAGGCTCAGGATTTGCCATATTATTAGGTGGTGTAAGGGATGCTGAAAACCTTCTTTTCCTCTTTTCTTCCTTCTTTTCTTTCTTCCCTTTCTTCCTCATATATCGGTTCATTGTACTGGACTGAGATACAGGAATTCCTGCCTAGTGGATTGGGATTTAGGACATCAGACTACTTTTCACTTTCTTTTCCCTACAGCCCCACCTCCCTGGTTGTGCCAGGGCACCAATAAGTACTCATTCACATATCTTGCTTCCACTGCAATAAAATCATATTATACTTTTGGCTTTTGCCACTAGCCTACATCTATTAGCTGTCATGTCGGAAGTCCCAAGTTTTTTATTTGAATCTTTCTACTTGAGAAATCAATAGGGCCAAGGAAATAAGAACCAGTGTTTACATAAGTGTTTATTGGACTTTTCTTTATCATCTTTCAGGTCTTGTAGAAATTTGCCTGATGCACCCCCTTGATGTGGTGAAAACCAGGTAAGGTTCTGCATGAACAAGTTTTATTGACTTTGGCTGATATCCAAATTAAGGTCTGTCAGAACACTAAATGCTAGAACTTGTCCCAGGCCGGTAGCTTCTCCCAATAATGGCATTTATATTTACTTCTTAAAGAAAATACTATTTGACAGATAAAATGTGAACAGTGAAAAGCATTTTTGGATTGAGGTCATCTGAAGGTATATAATATTTTACTGCTTTCACATGACAACCATAAGGTATGATTTGTGGCTAAACTGGTTAAGTGAGGTAAATTTATCAAAATGATGTAAAAACTAAACTTTATCCAGTGACTTATTACAGCAGACTTTCATTTAGCATAGCATATAATGCCAAATGAAAATTTACAAATGAATATTTACGGTCTGAAAGTATTAAATAGAAAATATCAGAAATAAGCAATTTATAAGTTTTAAATCATGTGCCTTTCTGAGTAATGCGATCATACCATCCCCCGCGGTCCTGCTCAGGACATGAATCATCCCTTTGTCCAGCATCTCCACACTGTATGTGTAGTACAATAAGGTATTTTGAGAGAGAGAGAAACCACATTCACATAACTTTTATTACAGTATACTGTTGTAATTGTTCTATTCTATTATTAGTCATTGTTGTTAATCTCTTACTATGCCTAACTTATAAATTAAACTTTAACATAAGTATGTTTGTATAGGAATAAACATAGTATCTGCCCAGTTTGGTACTATCCATGGGTTCAGTCATTCACTGAGGATCTTGGAGGGTATCCCCCACAGATAAGGGGGACTGCTGTACTTGATGAGCCAAGCTGGCCATTGAATGGACATGCTGCTTAATTTACCTAAAGAGCCCACAGAATCTTAGGCTGATTGCTGAAAGCAAGGGAAGGTGACTATGGCATGCACGTCATATTACATTTCTAATAGAGGTAGAGAAGATGAGCATTTGGTCTCTGCCTTAGCTCAGGCTCTATAACAAAATACCACAGACTGGGTGGCTTATGCAACAGACATTTATTTCTCACAGTTCTGTAGGCTGGGAAATCCAAGATCAAGGTGCCAGTCAATTTGGTTCTTGGTGAGGGCCCTTGTCCTGACTTGTAGACAGTCACCTTTCTGTATCTTCACATGGCAGAGAGAGGGAGTCTGATGTCTCTTCTTTTTCTTATAAGGACACTAATCCCATTGTGAGGGCTCCACCCTCATGGCCTCATTTAAACCTAATTACTTCCCCAAATTCCCAACTCCAAACACCATCACATTGGGGGTTAGGGCTTCAAAATATGAATTTCGGGTTTGTAAACATTCAGTCCAGGACAGCCTCAAGTCACCAAACCCAAACCGAGAAAGACCAAAACCACAAATTATATTTAAATATGTGTGCACTCCCTGGACTATCTTTTTATAGGGTTCAGAAACAGAAAGCAAAATTCACTGGCATGTCCTTCTTAGACTTTGTGCTAACTTTCTTTGAAAAGCCAGACTATTTTGTCTAGTCTTGCTGAGGAATAAACGTGTATTTTTCACTGAAGGGCAATTGCCTAAATTTGTGAAGTATTCAAATGAGCATGGAGGAGAAACAAGAATGACTTAAACAAGACATCATATTGAGCCCAGCCGGGCGTGACTCAGCGAGTGGTTGAGCATCAACCTAGGATCCAGGGGACTGCTGTTCGATTCCCAGTCAGGGCACATGTCGGGGTTGTGGACTCGATCCCCAGTAGGGGACGTGCAGGAGGCAGCCGATCAATGACACTCTCATTATTGATGTTTCTGTCTCTCTCTCCCTCTCTCCCTTCCTCTCTGAAATCAATAAAGATATATTTTTTTTAAAAAAAGACATCATATTGAAATTATGATTACTCAGTCGCTCAATCCTTCAGTCATCCATTTAGCAAACATGTATTGCGTATCTAGCACGTATGGGTTCCAGGCTAGCTTTGCCCTCAAAGAGGTCACAATGTGATGAGCTAATAAAAATCTCATCCCAAAGAATTTCAAAAACTATAGTACAGTTGACCTTTAGGCAAAGTTGGGGTTGGGGTTGGGGGTGCCCACCTCTCCCACAGTTAAAAATCTGCGCATAACTACTATATCATTTCTTTGCACTGGTGTTGAATAGAATAATTCTTAAAATGGATGTGCCAAATCACCGGGCTTTATGTCTCCTTTGTTATGATGATATTTTCATGAAAATGGCATTAGTTTATTGGAATTAGTCACATACCCTTGCCTAGCTTCAAGGGGGAGGGGAAATACAATCCTTCCAGGTGCCCTAAATGAGAAGGAAACTGGATCTCAATGGTATTTGAGCTGCATAATAATAAAAAGTATATTGAATAAAAACCCACAATCAGAGTAAACTGAAAACTCAAAATATGTGTAACTGACTTTGCAGCAGAAGTAGAATATGCAAGATTGGTAGCATTTATCACTGGGGACTAACACACAGGTGATAGGCACTAGACAGGACAGACTAAATAATGCTAAAAGCTTTTCACTATTATATTGTATAGGAGATAACTACCTTTCTAAATAAGATAAGCTGTAAACTATAACAGGTAATACAGGAAACCATGTAGCATTAGTTATTTGAGCAGGTCACTTTCCTAAATGACATCCAAGGGTTCTAAGTTATTGCAGGCATTGTCCAAGTGGGGCATGGCACACAGCAGGCCAAGCCTCACTTGCTGTACAGCTTTTTTTGTGTGGGATGTTTTTCCCTCTTCTTAGATATTTTTGCTGGGAGGGTGGTGCAGTTAATCAACCTGAGTATAGAAATGGCTCTTTTCCCACAATATCTCATGTGCTGGAATATGGCAAAATAAATGTTTACTCTTTTGTTTTGTTTTGTTTTTTAATATATCTTTATTGATTTCAAAGAGAGAGGGAGAGAGAGAGATAGAAACATCAATGATGAGAGAGTCATCATTGGTCGACTGCCTCCTGCACACCCCCGACTGGGGATCAAGCCCACAACCTGGGCATTGAACCCCGGAATCGAACAGCGATCTCCCGAATCCTAGGTTAAATGTTTACTCTTGAAGTCTAGTTTTTTGGGGTTCCATTTGTGCCTAACCCTTTTCTTTGTTGAATGAAAGGCAACAGATTCTAAAAATGTATTTCCAAATTATTTCTTCATAGGGATCTTTTTTTCACTCTGTAAACGATCAATTCTGCTACCCCAGGCTGGAGGGATAAAGGAAAGTGGTGATGTTACCAGAGGCCAGGGACCAGGGTTACCTGGTATAAGCTAGAACCATAGCAAATTTGTCTGTCTAGTGGTAGCTGGAAACTCAGAGGAGCACAAGCCACTGCCTAAAATTCACTGCCTGGGGTAGAAAAGGAGGGAGAGAAGTACTCTGACCTCTCCTTTTTCCACACTCGGCCGTCTCCCATCAGTGCTTCTATATCTGAATGCATGGAAGCCTGGGAAGCCCAGCCTCGCAACGGGCAGGCCCTTGGCCTAACAGAGCAGAGCAAAGCCAGTGAAGAGTAAGAAAAGGGTCTGCAGACAAACAGCACCAGGACTGACATACTGTCATTTTAGTGGGGTTTGTAGGAAAAGAGGACATAAGCGTGCTTTTAAAAAATTGAGATATAACTGGCATGTAATCTTATGTTAGTTTCAGGGGTACAACATAGTGATTCCATATTTGTATACATTGCAGAATGATACCACAGTAAGTCTAGGTAACATGCATCACCACACATAGCTACAGTCTTTTTTCTTGTGATGAGAACTTTTAAGATCTACTCTCTTAGCATCTTTCAAATATACAATACAGCATTATTAACTACAGTTACCATGCTGTATATTACACCTACAGGACTTATTTTATAATTGAAAGTTTGTTCCTTTTCACCCCCTTTACCCATTTAACCCACCCCCTACCCACAGGCTATGGTACCCATCAATCTGTTCTCTGTATCTAAAAGCTTGGTTTTTTTTTTCTTTCCTTTTTTTTAGAGTCCACTTATAAGTGAGACCACATATTTGTCTTTTTAAAAAAATTTTATTGAACTTATTAGGGTGACACTGGTTAATAAAATTGTGTAGGTTTCAGGTGGACAGTTTTCTAATACAGCATTTATGTATTGTATTGTGTGTTCACCGCCCCAAGTCAGGTCTCCTTCCATCACCATTTATTCCCCTTTACCCTCTTCAGCCTCCCAACACTCCCCTTGCCCTCTGGGAATCACCACACTGTTGTCTTTGTCAATGAGTTTTGTTTTTGGTTTTTTTTCTTTGCTTAATCCCTTCACCTTTTTCATTTCATATTTGTCTTTGCTGGACTTATTTCACTTAGTGTAATGCCCTCAAGATCCGTTTATCTTTCCTGTTGTCACAGATGGCGAGATTTCCTTCTTTTTTATGGCTGAATAATATTCCATTATGTATATGTCACATTATACATATATATGTCACATATATATATATGTCACATTATATATATGTGTCACTATACACACACACACACACACACATATACACACACACCCATACACCTTTATTGATTTCAGAGAGAGGAAGGGAGAGGGAAAGAGGGAGATAGAAACTTCATTGATCAGTTGCCTCCTGCATGACCCCCACTGGGGACTGAGCCTGTGACCGGGCATGTGCCCTGACCGGGACTTGAACTGAGATCTGCTGGATCCTATGTTGATGCTCAACTGCTGAGCCGCGCTGGCCGGGCTATATGTCACATTTTCATTCACTGATGGACATTTAGGTTGCAAGCATGCATTTTCAATTCATCATGCTTAATAGCAACTCACTTTGTATTTTATGAGATGATTAAAAGTTATAATCGATAGATCTTTTATGGAGAGATTATAAGCAATGTGGCATTTGGTTTTATATAGGAAACAGCTTTTCTGATCCATGTAAGTATAGCTCCAGGAATAGACCTAATGTAAACATAGGCTAGCCACATGAAAGGTGCTTTGTTCTAAGTGTCCTCATCATATTTTAACAAAGGAGATTTGGCTACAATGCTG